GAAAAGTGTACATATAATTAATGTATAGCATCCTAGAGTGTTGAATCTTGAATACATATACCCCTTTCAACGATTGTGTAGGTTTTAAAAAGAAAATCATGACTATCCCACACAAGCTCCCCTTATGTTCTTTTCCTAATTCACTGTCTTCCAATACCAAAGATAACAGATATACCTATTATAATTGGAAAGATTTGTTTTGTTTTTCCTTTTTATTTTAATGAAATCAAAGAATATGAATTCCATTGTGTTTGGCTTCCTTTTTTCTTTCACATTTGTGAAATGTATCAATATCTTGTGGCCATTTGTTTTCTGTGGTATATAGTATCCAACAGACTCATCCACTAAATGTGTGGATATAGATAAATATATTCACACATTGCCCATTCTCTGTTAGTGGGCATTTAGAGCTACAAACAATGCTGCCATCAGCACCTAATATGTGTCCTTAATGAGCATATGCTCATATTGCTTTGGTTACCTAGGAGAATAATTGATGCTAGTGTAAAATAGAGCTTTAATGTATTAGATGGCCCTTCTATTTTGCAAGTCTGTTCCTTTTCTGTTTTACACACTTCATCTTCTAAAGTTCATTTGTAAGACATCTGATGACTGGATGTTGATGCTAACACTCTGCTTTTCATGGGATGTTTATTTCACCAGGAGGATGGCCTGTGTATCCATCTCATGACCAGGACATCCTTCACAAGGGAGAATCATTTACAAAGGCTAGGTGTATGTTTGCCCAGTCACGGCTCTGTCACAGGGAGTCCAAGTTATTTTTTTCTCTAGAATACTATGAAGAAGGCCTAAGGGCTTGGGCTATGCCCTTGTTCTTTGGATAGAAGTTGCAAATTCAATATGCCACCACGTCAGGAAGTAAGCTGGAAGATTTACTACTTCCAGAACTTGAGCAGGGAAATGCAATGAGCCTGCAAGGTAGCATCGTGCCTCCAGGTCATAGCAGGCAATGAGAACAAGTTAGAAGAGAATGAGCCCATTCCTTTCCCTCTGTTCTCTTGATTTCCATGTATTTTCTCCCACCCTAATCTTCACTTGCCCTTCCCTTCCCTTTCTGACATACAAATGCATATGTAAATCACTTCTCAAGGAACATTTGTTTATGTTTTTATGGAAGTCAGTTATTGCTGGGCTAGGAGCTTTCCAGTACTGCACACTTCATGAACCGAAAGGGTTCCACATGCTCTGATACAAGTCACACTGGAGTTTGCAGCTTCTCTAGAAGATTATTACATCACCATTTAAAATAGGGTGTGGGGGCCAGCCAGACAGCTCAGCAGACTAAAGTGCCTGCATAGGCAGAGCACAGTGGAAGCATGCCTTGCCATGCCAGCCCCATCTCCAGGATGCTCTGAGACTGCAATTGAGACTGGGTGTGGTGGCACATGCCTGTAATCCCAGTGCTTGGGAAGCTGAAAACGAAAGAATCACTATGACACCAATCTATGTAGTGAGACCCTATAGACCCTGTACTAAATACATTTTTAAAAATAACAATAATAAAATAAAATATAGACTCAATCTAAATGTGATGCTATATGATATATACAGTAATTTGACAGTTATATTGCCAGAGACTGAAAAATGATATCTATTATGAAATATTAGCCATAAAAAGAATGAAATTGCAGCATTAGAGTTAGAAGCTAATTTTACATTAAGACACAGAGACAAACATTGGATGGGATCACTTAGGGGGAATGTTTGAAAGTTGATCTCGTACAAATTGAGACTAGAATAGTGGTTACCCATTGGTAAAATGTTACAGTCAGATTGGAAGATAAATTCTTGTTTCCAAAGGCACACAAAGGTGAATATAAGTAACAATGATACATATATACTTCAAAGTACAATTCTCAGAAGAAAATCTCAAATGTACATACCATTAAAAATAAGTATAAAATTAAGTATAAAAAATAAGGCCATATTAATAGGCTGAGCTGTAAAAGGCTCAAGTCAACAACTTCTGACATTGCCAGTTCTATGGATAACCCACTACTATTATGGACTACTGGACTATATTGGAATATTTTGCTGAATTTAGGTACCTGCAATATTTAAATGGCAATGGAATACTCTTCTCTGAAAAAACTAAACAAAAAGGGGGATACAAATTAAGGACCATTTTGTATCTATATATTCAAAATAGGATAGATATACAGCTACTTTCTCTTAATTCAATGAGAAGAAAGATTTACTCCAATAGTGTTTGTGGGCAGGATATCATGTCTGCATCTTGTACTATAAATAACCACTACGAAGACAATATGCAATATATTAATTATTGAAACTGTCCTACTGATCGGTTTTGAAACTGTCTCATTACTATTTTTTCTCAATAAAATTATTTAAAAATAAGTGATAATGAAGAAGGTAATTATGCAAGTTGCCCTTACTACCTCTGTTGATTATTACCTTCTACATACATGAATCAAAATCTCACACTATTTCATAAATCTACACTAATTTTATGTTCCCACCAAAAGCACATTGTGGGGGAGTGTTAATGGTCAAGAATTTCCACTATGGATTTAAACTGAGAAACAACTAAAAAATCTACTGCTGGTGGTATAAATCTGACACCCTCTCCCAACAACCTGAGAATGATGTTTCCCTGGGCTTCAAGAGTTCCACAACACCTGTTATAATTATTCTGCAAAATCATTCTTTTTGCTTACTTATCTCCTCCAGGCTTCCTGATATCATTAAATGTCTATCTCTTCTTAGGACTGAAAAAACTACCCTCAGAGCACGACATGATGGCTGACATCATAAGGAAGAGAAAGGAACTGACAAAAATGTAAGAAACCTAACTGTTAATGAAGAAAATTAAATCAAGGCACAGGGTCTGGGATATAGCATAAGCACCTGCCTGGCAAGAGCAAGGTCTTGAGTTTGATCCCCAGTACCAAAAAAAAAAATCTAGGCAGAATTTTTTATATTTATATATATTTGTATTTCTCATTATGGTAGACTGAGCCTACCTCAGTGAGATTTGATAATTTTTGTTCAGTGACATCATATTGAATAATAGAGGACATGCATAATAATTGCCTGACTATAGAACAGAAATCTCCTTCCTTTCTGAACAGCCACATCCTATCCAGCCTGCACAATGAATAATTGACAAAGTAAGTCTGACTAGGACACAGAGGAAACACTTCTTGTCTAAAAAGTGAGGTCACAGACACTAATGAGACATTAGCTATATTCAGAATCTAAAGAAAAGTCATACACTACACTTTTAAATGTATAATCAAGAGTAGTTTAATAAGATACACTAGGAGTCCGATCTAGTAGTAAGACCTTGAACACTCTGTAGATCCTTTACTAAAATGCAAAAAAAAAAAAAAAAAAAAAAGATAAACATTTCTTAAGGCCCATAAGTAAACATTATTTGATCACTGTCTCTGATGATTTTTAAAACACTGCTTAATTCCATTTTGTACAGTTACATTTATAGCTTTTGCAACTATATTCATAAATGGAACTTGCCTGTGACTTTTTCTTCTTTGCTCCTTTTTATTTTATTTTCATTATATTGTGTTGTCAAGCATATGCTAGCCTTATACAAAGAATGGAAAATAATTAGTGATTTTTAATACTCAAAAAAACCTTAAATTGACTTATGTAGGATTTCAAGTTCATTAACAATGTAAAATAATTAATATAAGTATGGAGAGCAATATTTATTTTAGAAATAACTCAATACATTTTTCTTTGTTTCCAGCATTGTTGGCTTACTTGCATTCTTATGTCAAGTCCCTTCCTTTATTGAAAAATTAACATGTTCTAATTTTGCAATTTTTTTTTTCAGAACCCGGGATTGAATTCAGGCCCTTGCACTTGCCAGGGAAGCTCTTATTCCACTGAGCCATCTCCCCGGCCCTTAATTTTGCAAATTTTAAGCATACACAATATTGTCTCATTTTGAACTTTCATACATCTCTTCAATATCCCTTTCTGATTTATTTTTGTATAGAGTTTATGCTTTCTTTTTATGTGGCTTAAGAGAGTTGACTATTTCACTGTTTATTTTACATTTTCAAATAGCCAGCTTAATATTGAGCTCTCAACTTGTCTTTTCCTGACTTCATGAGATTAGTATTTAACCCTAATTAGTGCTTTATAATCACTTTTTATCCTAATTTTGTGCTTCTTTTTAGTTTTTTCATTTGGCTACTTGGCTTATTCACATTTTACGATATTTTTCTTCAATAATAACTAATCTCCCAGCAGTTTTAGAGATTTTGCTCTTTTGTTTTTTATTTAATTTGATATGATCTGTTGTTGTTTGTTATGATTGCTTTTATGGTTGTTGTTATCTGAAGTAAGAGCTTACTATGCTGCCCTGGCTTGTTTTGAACTCAGATTTTGGCAATCCTTTTGATTCAGCATCAAATGGGCTGGCCAAATAGCTCAGTGGATTAAAGCCCTTACAAGTGGGTGCAGGAACCAGGGGTTCGATCCCTGGGCCTGCTGTGCCAGCCCCATCCCTGGGTGCGCTGAGATAGCAGTTGAGCTGGCGTAGTGACATGCGCCTGTAATCCCAGTTCTT